TGGCAGTGACAATTAAATATGCATGACTCCTTGCACCCAAACTCACAGGTGTAGCCTCCTTAAACAAGAAAGTATCTGTGAAGTTCTTTAAGCCTTATTATAACATTACTTTCTTTCTATTTTGAACAACTACAAAACTCAACTTTGCAAAGCAAATGATGCACTTTGACTTCCATTCTTCTAGTGGGAAAAAGTGCTTTATAATTAGTAAAATACTTGTATGTATTGGAAGTCTTTGTACATAAGGCTAATATTCTTTAATTGCAAGAAAGGTAAATTGTAACCCAAACATTGAATTGCAATGCAGAAATTTATATGCATGATTGTTGTAGGGACAGAAGGAAATAATGCTAACTTTTACAAGGAGATAAGGTATTATGCTGCATTTTAAATTTTGCTTTGTTTTGCAGGTGCCAGTTTGGGAATCACCAGCGATGGTTTTTTTGACCTTGAAGAGTTGCCCAGGTAACAAATGAAAAATACTCTCATTACCAAAATTAAGTACCTCAGGCTGCTCTTAGCCTAGCTACTCAAGGGTACTCCTTTCATGTCCCTTTGAAATCAGTTACTCCTGGACAATGTGGATGTGAAAACACAGCCAAAGTAGAATGGGAACTAGGGTAGATTATTGCACAAGAATAGGGAGGAGTTGGATTCACACCAGCCTTTAAAATGGATCTCCCCTTTTTTGAGTAACTACATTCTGGACAGCATGACACTGTATGAATCATTGCTGCTTGTTTTTCATGTTTGTGTGGGAAGTGTCATATTATTTACTATATTTACTTAATTCCAAGACAAGCTTTCTTTCACTGCCCTGCAGTGGTGGGGAGGGAGGAGGGGGGCTGATTCACCTCAGCTGCGGTCCCCTGCTCCTTTAGCTGTAACGGGGCCATGCCGGGATAGCTGTCGTCCCTGTTAGTGGGACAGGGCAGGGAAGTGGGGGATTAAAAACCCTCCTCCTCTCTCCTTGTTGCTCAGCACCAGGGGTGTGGCCAGCCGCCATCCAGGCATGGCCCCTTTAAGGTAAGGGGTTAATTTCTCTCTCCTTCCCTTCTGCCACTTGGGACCACAGCTAGAGTCTGGTAGCCCTGGCCCCCACCTCCTCCTCTGCCACTTGTCTGCACACAGGCAGACCCCAGCTGTGTGTGTGTGTGGGGGGGGGAGAGGAGTGAAAAATTAAACCCCTCCCTGTCCACTCTGCCTTAATAGGACCATGCCCCCCACCCCTGCTCGGGCTAGAGAGCAGAGGGGGCAGGTTCAGCCCTGCTCTCTGGAGTTGAGAGCACAGCCCAGACCGGGGCTGCAGAGCATGCTGGGATGCTGGAGGACTCTGGTTTAACTTAAACCAGGAAGGGGTCTGGGACAGAAGTTGCATAAACCAGTTTGATCCAAATCAGTTAAGTCGATTAAGAAAGCTACACGTCCCTGCAAGCCGATATTGGCGACCAGGGTGGATGACTGGAGACCCTCTGGGTTAAAATCTGTGGGGAACACGGCACAGGGGACACAATGATGGGAGTCTACTACAGACCTCCCACCCAAAGTCCTGAGCATGACCAGGAGTTTGCCCGGGAACTGGCTGAGGCGGCATGCTCCAGGACCATGGTTGTCATGGGTGACTTCAATTACCCGGACATCTCGTGGGAGGATTGCTCAGCAAAATCTGAGCGGACGCAAAGCTTCCTCTCGTGCGTGGATGACCTCTACCTGACTCAAGAAGTCTATGGGCCAATGAGAGGCAAAGCGCTGCTCGAC